CAGAACAATCACAAACCAAGGACCTCTTCATGGCCCCTTATAGCAGAGGCGTTGCTACCTCCACAACAACTTCATCTCAGAGTGTTCCATCTTACGTTACCTCAATGACTGAATCTAAGCAATACAGTTTCTTATATGGGGTTAAGGTGTTTAGCTATGCTGAACTTGAGGAAGCCACTAAAAATTTTGATCCTTCCATGGAACTTGGTAATGGAGGTTTCGGCACTGTTTATTATGGTAAGAATATAATATCATCTTTTTCTTATGGATTCTCCAACACTAGCCCTTGTACACTTGCCATCAATTTCCCTTAACCATTCAGCTCTGATTGCTGATCAGGCATTCTGAAAGATGGACGTGCAGTTGCAGTGAAACGGCTTTACGAAAGCAATCTGAAACGTGTTGAGCAATTCAGGAATGAAGTTGAGATTCTAGCTCGACTCAAGCATAAAAACCTGGTTGCACTCTATGGATGCACCTCTAGACATAGCCGAGAACTTCTCCTTGTCTATGAATACATTCCTAATGGAACAGTGTCAGATCATCTCCATGGGAATCGATCTAAGTCTTCTTTGCTCCCTTGGTGTACCCGATTGAACATTGCAGTAGAAACAGCTGAGGCCCTAGCCTACCTCCATGAATCAGATGTCATACACCGGGATGTTAAAACCAATAACATTCTCCTAGACCATAACTTTAAGGTCAAGGTTGCTGATTTTGGTCTTTCGAGGTTGTTCCCAAATGATGTTACCCATGTGTCAACTGCCCCACAAGGAACACCCGGTTATGTTGACCCTGAGTATTATCAGTGTTACCAAGTCACCAGTAAAAGCGATGTTTATAGCTTTGGAGTTGTCTTAGTTGAGCTCATATCATCCTTAGAGGCCGTGGACATCACCAGGCACCGCCATGATATAAATTTGGCCAGTCTTGCTATAAACAGAATTCAGAATCATCAAGTTCATGAGTTGATTGATCCACTTCTAGGGTTTGAAAGAGACAATGCAATCAAGCAGATGACAACAGGAGTTGCAGAGTTGGCCTTTAGGTGTTTGCAGCAAGATGGAGACATGAGACCCTCCATGAATGAGGTACTGGAAATATTGAGAGGAATCCAAAAAGAAGGGTATGGTGGACATGAAGATCTAGAGAAGAATAATAAAAGGGTGGATGAAATCATGCTTTTGAAAGATGCCCCTCCTCCATTCTCACCAGATTCAGTTGCAGATAACTGGGTTAGCTCTTCTACTACTTCTACTTCCTCATAACTTCTATGATTTCACTGTTGACCTAAATGAGATGAGGTGATAATGCACATTGATATTTGCGCGGTCTGTATATAATATATATATAGAGAGAGAGTAACTTACCCAAATCTCTGTGCTCCGTGTATGAATTAGTAAATCGGGTCATTCATCTACTGTTTCAATCTTCTGCTGATGTTTGGACAAGTCCGCATAATGAGGACCTAACGCTCATCTGTGATACGGCGTCGTGGTTCCGCCCCATCTGTCCCAAACGTACAAATCCAATTTATCTCTCCATCTCACTTGAGCACTGGCCACTGTGAGCCTATCTTATCTGTATCTTTTCTTTTTATTTTAAACAAAAAAAATTTAATATTTAAATGTATTAAATAAAAATAAAGGTTTAAGTACAATAATTCTCAGTCTCATAAACTAATTTTTGTTGTATCTAGTATCTAAAAATATTTTTCTAATAGTATCCAATATTCTAAAAGTTAAAATAATTGTTTATGCAATTTTATTCTCAAAAGTATTTTTCCCCGTAGCAATGAACGCTTTAGTGCTATCTTTTGACTAAAAAAATGATACTAATTCCTACCCAAAAAATACATTAACGTGTTAAATGTATCAAAAAATTATTTTAAAATACTGAGCATTCAATTAACAATATAGAGGATAGTTTAAGGATAAAATTACACTAAAAATTATTTTAGAATAATATAATGCTATTCAAAAATTACAGTTGAGGCTCAATTTGCCATCACGATTGAAATCACTTATAAGCATGTTTTACATAAGTCAAGGTAAATTTCTTTCATATATTTACCTTGTATTCTATAAATCACGATTGAAAAACTATTTATAAACTATTCCAAACAAGCTCTTCATGTGCCAAATGCACTAATAATTAGCTTATAACATTGAGGGGCGTTTCGAAAATTTTAAAAAGTTTTTTTTTCCGTAAATCAATACAAACTCCTCTACATATTTATTTTGTATATTGTAAAATCACTTTTAAAAACATAATTTGGTTCCTATTAGAAAAAGTGGTTTACGATACTAAATGTTACTTAATCCTTTAATTTTTGTTTAATACATTAGAATACTACGTAGAATACTGGAAAAGAGGTGCATGTCATGTGCTCAAAAGCCAACTTAATGGTGTGTTCATTGTTTCTTTTCTTTTCTGTTTTCTTTTTGTTCTTTCTTTTTTGGGTTGCTAAGATTATTATTATTCACTGTTTCTTATCCTTGACGGATTGTCTTATAATATCTTCTTCATCAAGCAACATCGAATGTTTGTCACAACCAAAGTCAACAAACAAGACAAATTTTTGCCCAAAATAACAAAAACTTAATTACATATTTAATGACTAACAGATTTAATCTTTACATTAATCGTCCATTCCTTTCGTTGATGCCATTGACAAAAGCTACAATCAACGGCCAACAAACAATTTAATTGTCTTTTTGGCAAAAAATTATTTATTTCTTATAAAAAGAATCAAATGAAGAAATTAACATTCTTAAGAATTTATTTTCTTAATAATACCAGACTGACCTGAAAATTTTATCCTTCATATCTCTTTAAAGGCATTGTTCTAATTTATGAGCAAATTTATTCATACTCACTCTTTTCATAATCTAAGTCCCATTTAGATAATCAGTCCAAAAAAATTTCCATTTTTTGCCATAAAAAAAAGTCCCATTTAGATGAGTATATAGAACGTTAAATCTTTCCCCTCATTTAATTTATCCTTATCTACATTAAAACTGCATTTTAAACTAGTTAACATATTTTCCACTCCCTTACTTAGTGTTGGTAAAAATAGTTAAATATAACTTATTTTTTGGATCACAGGATTAAATATCCATCAATTTTTCTTAAAAATGCAAGAATTTTCACTTACTATAATGGCTTTATTATGAATTATGATACCCTTTAATTGTTTTTAAATTTCCTATAGGATCCAATTATTAAACCATTTTTAATGAAAGTTGATTGTTATTGGCAAAAAAAAAAAACAACTCTGGCTGAAATTTCCCAAAATACCACATTTGAGGTTCTTAATTAAATCAGACAAGAGAAAATGAAGATGCAAAACAAACTCTCCAAATTCTAGTGGTGCTGTCATTGTAAAACCCTAAAAAAAAAGGAACCTTTTTTCACCAAAAACAAAAATACAACTTTGATCCTTTAATTTTGCATGAGATTTCATTTGATTTCTTAATTTTATAATGTTTTAGTTTTTAATCTTAACACCCGTTAGTTTTGTTAACCAAAAAAAGGAGTGGAGCAGGCACGTCGCCTTTTATGAAAAATCAGACTACACTGGACAATCATACCATACCGGTTTGAATTGTTGATGGAACTTGTCAATAACTTTGTTTTGACAAAAGAGGGGAAAAAAAAAACTATTTTCGAGATAGACATTGAGTTAGAACCAGAAATTAAACTGCAAATTAGAACGGTTTTTATAAAACCAAACAATTTTTTTTGGGCATGACGAAAAATGTTGAAGAATTTAATAAAACATATAAAAATTTAAAAAAATGCCTTCTCAAAAAGTTTAATATATTTTTAGTGAATCTGTAGTTATATAATATTATTTTATTGAGAACTTCATACATTGTGATGCTATTATATTGACAACTAAATTTATCACAAGTTTATTTCTTATATATAATATTATATACCTATATAATTAATTTTTTATTCAATTATTATCTTACCGATTTGACTGCGGGTCAAATTGATTGATCATGAAAACTACATCTATGAATCGTTAGCTTTTTTAATTTGACGTTCAATTCGGCTTTTAAAATATTACCTAAGACTCTTCATTTTTTTTAAAAAAAGAAAAAAAAATCATACAACTTTGCCGCAAGAATATTAATTTAGAGTCTTCTTTTGGAGGGTATAGAGTTAGACGATTGGGGATAAGAAGGAAGGATCCTGCGAGTCCAAAATGGTCAAAGGAAATTGGGAGGAAGGCGGAGCACTTGATAGTGAACACAAAGTTGATTGCAATTGCAAGTAAGACTTGTAATAAGCCAACAGTAAAATCTCTTGGGAATATTTGGAGAAACCATATTGAGAGTACCTATATTTTTTTTAATTTTTAAATTGGTACCTATGTGTTTTTTCTTAATTAAATCTTTAATTTTGTCCTATTAGCAATGTTAACCCTTGTATAAAGATTAAAAATGCTAATTGAACAAAGTTACAAAAACTAATAATATTACTAAAACAGTAAAATTAAATGAAATATAAAAAAAAAAAACACATAGGTACCAAATTAAAAATTAAAAAAAAAACTCCAATATAAGTTTTCCTTTAAGTTTTGGCCAGATAGATGAGTATCTTTCAGGTACATCAACGGCTCACATTAAGGGATTTAACACTTTTCATGCCTAAACAGAAATCAAATCCCTTATCTTGATTAAGGGAGAATGAATTCATACCACTCAAGCATACATTCCTAGTTAGTTGAGTCAGACAATTTCACACTTATAAATTGAAACATAATAAAACATTAAAACTATATTTATATAAATTAATTTGAAAGTATTCACGTAAATTTTTTACCTAAAAATGTATTTTAAATTAAAGTATAAATTAGTTTTTTCCAAAAAAATATATATATTAGATCACTAGTAATTAAAAAAAGGAAAAACGCATGCCACGTGCCACAGCCACGTGTCTGCCAGTGTTTATATTCCACCGAGAAAGCCCTTCGTATTCTCAGTATTCCTTTTTATTTCCTGCTTCAGGCCACCTTCTATCCCTTTCTGTCTTTTACTGTAACATCCCTCAGTCATAAAGCTCAAAAGCCGATCGAATCGGAATCGAATCGAGTCGAATGGCCTCAGATCTCACTTTCTCTCTCTAGCAAGCAATCCTTCGCTTCTCCCTTACTTAATCTAATCTATCTCCCCTTTTTCAATGGCCACACTCCAGAAATTCAAGCTCTTAGCCACCCAGTGCGCCGTCGCCGGCAGCCCCACTCGCAGCCCTACCACTAGCCCTGTCATCCACCTCCGACGCCGCAAGACCCTCCGCATGTTCCTCAGCCGCCCTGACCGCCGCCGATTCGCTCGCTGCGAGGAAGCTCCTGTAGACCTCGCCGATGAAGATCCGACGGAAATGAACGAAAAGGAGGTCAGAGTTCGACGGAAGCTCAAGGATCTGTTTGTATCTTCTCCGCCGCCGGTCGATGATGAAAAGAGGCGCCAAGATGAAGAAAGGCGAGAGCAGGACGGATTCTCGCCGGCGATAGCGAATTCCGGCCTCAGCAGCAGATTCCGAACGGGTTCGGCATTCCGACGTGGCGGAACCACATCTCTCAGACCTGTCTCATCGGCGTTCCGATATAGATTCCTCAAAAGAGCTTGGCGACCTGTGCTCGTCACTATCCCTGAGTAGGCACTATGAAAACTTTGTGGAGATAAATCGAAAATTTCCCGAATTTTTTATTTGTTTATTTTCATCTTTAGAAAATGTTAATATATTCTCCACGGCGGAGAGCGTGGCGGTGGAGATACTCAATTCGTCAATCGGACGGTTTTGACGCCTCGCCGCCGTACCGATGCTAACGTGCGCGGCGTAGTTGATGATGCTAACGTAAGCACCTGAAAAAGTGCGTATTTTAACCTGCGAGGAAAACGGGAGCAAAAGCGTGAGTTGCCAGCCTCGTGGTTTGTACCAGTGAGATACGCTTCCGTCTCTACGACGTCGTAGCCTGTAGCGGTTTGTGGATCTGGATTTTTGAACTTTTTTTATTTTTATTTTTCTAAATAAATCTTAACGGGTTTCTTGACTGTGCTCATCGTTTTCGAGAATCGTGATTAAATGCCCCATAGGTATATAATTTTTAATTAGTTATTTTATTGAATGGGTGAAAAACTTTGAAAAAAACAAAATAAGAATATTGTGAAGTGAGAAAATGGAGAAAATGTAAAAGTTTTCACCCCCTTTTTGTCTCATTCACAAGACTGGGAGCTTGTTTTTGGCATTTTGTAGTATTTGCATGGGGTATCTAATGCTTCTTTTTGTCTAATTTATTGATAACAAATAAAATTAATTAAAAATATTAAATAGTTTACAAATATATTTTTATTTTTAAATATGTTTTTATAATAAATGAAATACAGGATGAAAGAAAATATGTGGAGAAATGTGATAAGAGAGAAATAACTGGAAGGTAACAATAAAAAAATACATTTAATGTTAAGGCAAATCTAAAATAAAGCCTATAAAATAGGTCATAGTCTTATAAAACCGGAGGGAGTATTTTCAACTGATTTAATTTATTCATTTCGATTACAGTCATTTAATCTAATTTTGCAAATTTTGGGATGAAATTTTTATCAAATAAGGTCATTTATTTGTTTTCCAAGGAAGATTTTGATTCAATTAAAAAATTATTTTGATCAAATGGACTTTTTTGCGAAGCACATGTATCATCCTATTAAAAGCAATATTGTTCTCATATTATGGTATATTAAATGTGAACTTTAGTTTGAACTTTAGTTTGTTGTGAGAGGCTAACTACTTATCTTAGCCCAATCTTGTTGATGTATGGAATTTTTTTAGCTAAGCATAAGCATCTTTTTATTAGAAAAAAATCTTATTTAAAAAATTATTAGACACTAAATATAAGTATTTTTAATAATAAGAATTTAAACTTTAGTTTCTCATGCGAGAAACTAGCTCCTCTCATTGTATCCAAATCTCCAAATTTATTGCATTGCAAACAGAGAAACGACATTCAGAAGATTCAGAAAACCCCATAGGACGACAACCGTACAAAGCACAGATCTAAACGCAAAAAATCACGAAACAAAACCACAATCCACTCCGCACGCTGAAAATAATGGACGACATTAGCATAAATAAATTATTGGCATATAGAATTCATGAACGAGTAGTGTTTTTCTTCACAACATTTTTCAATTCCCATCATATTAAAAAAATTAAGTAGGATTAAATGAATTACAATATATGATTTGTCATTATCAATTTGACAATCATGATCTTGCCAAAAAAAAGTTCAATTAGGAGACTTGTTAATAAAATAAAACACACATTTAGCATTAATTAACACATAATGTATGGTAGTGACGAGGGATTTATTTACTCATTTATTTTTAAATTTTTATTAGGGTAAAGAATGGCTTGGATGAAGGATAATAAGATAAAGGGTGTGATGGAACTATGAAGCTTTCCAGAAAGCTGTACCTATTCAGGTTCAACGAATCAATAATCAATAATGTGCTTTCAATATTTGAGTGTGCGTATCTCAATTATTTATTTTTTGTGTGACAAGATTTTCAGCATGTTAGTTGGATCATTACTTGCCCTATAAGCTGTCTCTACTCTCCAGTCTACTCAGTGAACACCAGATTTGATTTAAGATCACTTTTTACAAACAATTTTTAAAAAAAATTTCTTAAATGTGATTTTTTTTTAAAACAATCATCTAAACAAATTTTATTTTTTTCTGTGAGAAATTCTTCTGAGATATAATCTTATAAAACGATTCTAAAGAAATTAAGAACAGAATAAGAACTAAGTCTCTTATAATTGACATGAGCCTCTTGTTGATAATGGAAAAAAAAAATTAAGCTGGAGTGTTTTATAAATGACTAAAACTGAGATATTGATAAATTAAAAAAAAAAAAAAGGAAGAAGAAGATAATAAAAGCGAAAAGTCTGAAGGAATCCTCCGAGATAGCGATAAGAGATGATAAAGGTGTAATCTTGGTGGAGTTTGCCTCTGTCACTTGGCCAGCATCATCTTTCTTTATGTGCAGAGTTTTCACCAACTTGGAAATTTGTCCAAATAAATTTTCTTAAATCCATTTCAAACTGAATAAATTGATCACGTAATATTTTGAATCCCTGAATCTATTAATTCTAGATTAAAAAAAAGTTTGTAGATTAAAGATGTACTTCTCTCAATCTTAAATATAAGACGTGATAGAAATGTCTGTTTTAATCCTAGATATAATTTACAGATTTATTTTGTTTCTCAAATTCATGATTTTTTTTCCCTAAATCCTTCCTATTAAATTGCACATGTGAAGGGAATTCTGTATCAAGAGAGTGTTTTAAATTCAACTAATTAAAAGTGATATTTTAGAGAAAACATGTATTTTTTATAAATAATTGATTTAATTAAATTTTTTATTAATTACAAATTAGTTATATAAGACGTATACCTAAGCTAAGACTAAAGAGAGTATTATGTGTAGTGTGGCATTGTGTGTCCTTTGTGTTACGTTGAGTAAAGAATTTGTATGGACTATAAAAACACAAAAAAAAAAAAAAAAAAATTCTCTGACTCTAAATATAAAATTTATTTACACTATAAAATGAGTTTTATATTTAAATATAAAGGGTATAATAATTGTTTGGCACTTGTATAAAGTGGGACCTCATGACGGGAGTGGGCCCCATGGTACGAAAGATCAAAACTTGTGAATGGATTTTATTTAAATGGGATGGATGTGTGTACTTTTAAAATATTTTTGTTGGGATTATTATTAAACTAATTAAGGGAGCTGCTAAAATGATGATGATGTTGTTGAGTATAATGCTTGAAGATAATAATGCATTATAGATATATTTGAATAAGTCTCTAAATAGGGACATCAACAAGAGGCATGCCCTGCCCTTTTATCATTGTTTTGGTTGCATAGGGACAATGTGTGAGGCCAAAATGACAATCATAAGACTTTTTAAGGGGGGGGGGGGGGGAAAACATCATTTTTAGGATCTGTTCAAGGAGTGTGTTTGTGTGTGCCAACCAAATTTAGATACATTATGTTTGTTTTGAATGTTGGGGGTTGTATTATTAATAGTTGGATGCGTGTCATAAAAGAAAAGGTTGTACTTCCTATGGAATCAATTACCATTCCATTCACATGTTATGGGTTAGGAAAAAAAAAAAAACATGTTATAATCTCAATTCGAGACTCGTCATTTTATATTCAAAACTTATTATTCTCAAGTGAAGTGTTTTACATGTAGTCAAAAATAAATTAGTTAACTTATATACTCCTCCGGTCCTAATTATAAGACCCAATTGACTTATTTGAGAAAATTAAGGAAGTAAGTTAAGTTGGTTATTTATAATAAATAAGTGTTGTCATTCCTAAAATATCCTTGCTAATTAAGTATATTGGCTAAAACTATCATTATTAGAAGGATTATCTTGGAAAAAAAAATGCATAAATATAAGAGACAAAATGGATTGGGTCTTATAATTAGGACCAAATAAAAAGTCAAATTGGGTCTTATAATAAGGACCGGAGGAGTATATATATAGCATTATAATGTCAACGGAACTTGTTGGCTTAATAGTTTTTCTTAATTTTGGCATGCAACTAGTTGGACGATCAAATCCTATCAACTTTACTTTTAAATAAAAATCCCCATGCCGATAGCCGCCTTGCTTGCGGTCAATAACAGAGCTCTGTCGCCCAGTGGGGGTGGCTAGGGTGTTGGCCACCGGTAAGTGTTCGGCGAGGGATTGTTTACTTATTTTCCTTTTACGACTGGGGGGCATATTTGTCAATTTACTTCAATTTCAAATTTTTAATTTGGGTTGGTCCTTTAGTTGGGATTATGTGAAGCGGGGTACCTAAACTAAAATTTTACAATTTCAATGGTCCTCATTTGTTTTTTCCCCTATAAATAAACTATTTTATTGAACAAAAATTAGATTATTTGTACTTTATAAGAAGAGCTGGGCAAGTTGGAACTCAGTATGTGGGAATGACTTTTCACTCTCATAGTATTTTTTCAAAGATTAATATCATTGTTAGTTTTTATGATTTCGTCAAATTTTGATTTTAATTTTTATAGTTTCAAATAGTTGATTTCTTTTTTATAGTTTCATAATTTGTTTGATTTGAGTTTAACAAATAGTTCTTATACATTAGCGAGATTGGTCCTTATATATAAACTTAAATCAAATTTTATAAAACTATAGGAACTGAAATCAACAAATTAAAAATACAGGGATGAAAACTAAAATTGAATCAAACTACATAAGCAACGCCAATAATCATACAAAACCCATTTTTTCAATATGTGAGATCAAATTAATTACAAGTAACAACGGTGATATTATTGTGTTAAAAGGTCTAACTCAAGTGGCTATTTAATTTGAAATTAAAAACGAAAAACAAATAAAATTAACGGAAGGGCCTTCTCATTTGTTGTTATGAAGAAAAAGGCAAAAATGAAAACAAGAAACAATCAAAATAGTTTAACTGAATAGAGTAGTAATCAAGTCAAGTAAAAACGAATCATACTAAGGTTTAAGTTCAAAATCTTATGAATTTACGGAACAATATGACAAGAGAAGTGCTAACTTTATTTCATGCGAGACAATTTTTTTTAATATAATTCAGAGTATCCTTAACTCACTTTATATTTAAGATTAATTTTCATCACACAGAAATTA